ATGTAGCGATCCGGGGCGAGATAGGGATCGGCTTGAATGGTATCTCTCACCCCTCGATCATGGCCTCGTCTAGCTCCGCGAGCTGCACCTCCAGCTGCATGTTCTGTGATGCCTGTTCCCCTAGCAAAAGACAACGCTCAAGGAAATCATCAGTACCCGCACTCGTGATGGCGAGTGTGGTCTCAAAATTAGCAACAACATCACAGTAATCTAGATCATCATGGAGCTGGGGGTGTTTCATATTATCAGAAACAGAGAAGGTGATTTGTTCACCCCCAGCTCGCAAAATCAGTTTCCATCATTCACATCAATGAGCGCCTTGGCGGTGGCGAGAAAAGGTCTACCCAATATCAATGGCACATCCACATCCTCATTTATGTCCAAAATCATAAAATCAACAGGATAAGAGAATGGCCCTACTGCGACTATCAAGTCCTCTGCAATGCCCCTATGATGCACAATGGATCTATCAGCAAGTTGAATGCTCATCCTAGTATGACTGGGTTCACCTAGGCCTAGCTTTTTAAACAATTTATATGGCATGACATTTATGCTAGCGCCTAAATCCGCCAAGGAATTCCCTATATGCAAACTACCAATCATGCAAGGGATATTGAAACTCTCTAGGTCTTTCCGCTTCTCTGGTAGTTTGTTCTGCAGGATGGCAGAACACTCCTCGTTGAGCATCACCGTTGACAGCTCCCCAAGCTTCCTCTTATTGGTGAGGAGATCTTTCATGAACTTGGCATACTTGGGCATCTTCGATAATGCCTCCACGAAGGGCATGCTTATATTCACCTGCTTCAGCATTGCCATGAACTTGGCAAACTCAGTCTCCAGTCGGTCCTTGTGCAATCGAGTAGGAAAGGGGAGCTGGGGTACATACTCCTTCACCACTGGTTGCGGTTTAGGAGCAGGCACCTCAACCTCCTTCTCCATTTCATCTTCATTAGCTGGAAGTGCTGAAGCAGGGGTCTCTCTCTCTTCTGCCCGAACAGGTGGATCGGCAGTCACCTTGCCACTCCTGGTGGTAATGGCCCCGCGGTGCTCATTCGCGTTCTGCGGATGAGGGATGGTCTGACCGGGTAGAGTACCAGGAGGCCTCTTAGCTACAGCCTGGGCAACACTCCCAAGCTGGGTCTGGATATCCCGAAGAACAACCTGCGTGTTTCTCTGACCAGCTTCTAGCTCCATGAATTTTCCTGAAGCTTTCTCCATGAACTGCTCGATGTTATTGAACTTGTTTGCACTGGAGGTGGCCAGAGAACCCACCAGATCTCGCAGTTCCGCCATCGGGTCACTCTGAGCTGGGGCTGCAGGTGCCGCCCCTGTCTGCTGAAATGGTCGCACCTGTGACTAAGGTTGAACTGGCCCCTGTCTAGGCGGGTAGAGCGGCTGTTGTGGCTGCTGAAATTGCCCTTGTCTAGGCTGGTAAGGAGGCCTCTGGAAGCCAGGAGGTCCCTGAGGAACTGGTGGTCTGGAATTTGCCCCACCCCAGGAGAAGTTGGGATGCTGGCGCCACCCCTCGTTATAAGTGTTGCTGTAGGGGTCGAAGCGCCTGGCATTACTGATGAAGACCACCTGCTCCTGGGGAGTAGACGACTCCCTCATCGCCTGATAGTCCTCCACAGTGTGATGGGAGCTCTCACACCACTGGCAGTGCATCGCCTGTGGTTGTCCTGTAACTGTAATCAATCCAGAGCGATCTATGGCTGAAACCAGCTTCGATACCACCTGCACCAAATCAGATGACTGGGTGGCGACAGCATGCACACCCCGCCCTGGTGCTCTTCTCGATCTCCTGGAAGTGCCCCAATCATATCCCTGCTCTGCCATCTCTTCATAAAGTTGATTCAGTTGTGGCGGCGTTTTGGTGAGCATATTCCCGCCACAGACCGAGTCAATCAGCTGCTTGTCCTCCGGGAAGAGAGCATGATAGAAGGTTCCCACCTTGAAAGCATCATTGAAACCATGATTGGGACACCGCAGGAAGAGACTGTTGTATCTCTCCCAAGAATCCCTGATGGTCTCATCCTCGTCCTGAGCAAAATGGGTAATTTGCTTTTGCAGGTCCGCCGTCTTGGATGGAGGATGGTAGCGGGTGAGGAACTTGTCCGCCAGGTTGGCGAACGTGGTGAGAAAGCCCGGAGGTCGAGTGTCTAGCCACTCCTTGGCCTTCCCCTCCAGGGTGAATGGGAAGTACCTCAACTGGATGGCATCTGCTGGGACCCCATTAATCTTGATTCCATCGATGAGCTCGTGGAATCGGCTGAGATATGATCGGGGGCACTCCCCCTCTTTGCCACGGTACACCACCGAACCGCACAGCATGGTGATTACTGAGGTGCTCACCTCAAAATTGTTGGCTAGGACATGAGGGTGTTGAATGGGTGACCTCATGTCTGCAGCCCTGGCGGTCCAGTAATGTCCCATGGTCCGCTCCTCGGGAAGGACCACATCATGGTCCTGTGGATCCCCCATCTCTTCTTCTTCAGCGATCTGCAGCTGTGCTAGCTCCTCCTCCGCAGCCAGTCGCGCCTTTAGAGCCCGCTTGAAGTTTCTCCAGGTTCGTTCAAGCTCCTGGTCTAGTGGTAGTAGATCTCCCGGCTGGCTACGGGTCATGCACTACCTGCACACAATCAGCAGAAGCAACCCGTGAAGGCACACAGGTGGAAGAGATAAAATGCAGTAAAGAAAAAGCTAGAGTAACAGATTTGCATGTTTCCCCAATAACCTAGAGGGTCCCCGGCAACGGCGCCAAAAACTTGACACGCCAAAATACAACACCAAACTCCGACCAAGTGTAATCGCAGTCCGAGAATGCAGTAAAATGGCAAGTTCTATTATCAACCCGGGGTCTAGATCTACTACTTACTCCGTGAGTATCTATTATCTAGCCAACTAAGTTAAGTGTTTGTTGTTTTAAGCAAAAGCAGAAAGAAAGCAGGAATTGGTACGGTTTTCTCAAGCAAAGAAGAGTCACTCGGGAATGAGTCCCCCTAGCTCCTTAGTTAGGTTTCAATAGTAATTTCCCTGGGTTGATTTACTGTTGATTAGACTGCGGAAGATCCGACAGTAGCTTGGAATCTCTTAAGCTGACCAAGCCCTCTCAGTCTAACTACCCCGCAGACGACTAGTCTGCACCGGGATAGAAAGCTGAAGCAATAAGCACAGAACTCCACTACTGGAATTGAATTCCAGTACAAAGCAGTAAACTGGCTAACTCTCGTATAGCCAATCTCCTACTACCGAATGATGAGGCTCTAACAACCTAATCAGATTCTATTTATCTCAGGTTGCAGCAGAAATCAGGAAAAGCTTATCAGACTTCAATTGACTCAATAAACATGCATCATTCGATTAAAACCAAACAGTATAATCATCCCAAGTCATTACAATCAAATCCCTAACAAATGGAACTAGGGTTCTTCATACCCAAGTGAGAGAAGGGTTCTACTCCATAGAGAGAGAGGAAAACAGAATACAAAGCAGTCATACTCATAACAATAGGAAGAATCTGCTCTGGGATAATGATTTCCACTCCTAAGACGATCTCCAAGCTTGATTTGATGAAACCCAGCTCCAAGATAGCTTCTAGGATGTGTTCTTCGTACTTTCTCTCTCTAGGGCTCTGTTTTTGCTCTAAAAATCCCATTCCCTCACTTGCAGCCCGAAATTGGGTAAAAACCAGAAATTCCCAACTCACACGGGCAGGCCACACGGCCGTGTGGTATACCCAGTTGCCCGTGTGAGGTCAAAACGCCGCGTTCCGAGTAATTGGGTTTCAGGCTTCCCACACGGCCAAGGCCACACGACCGTGTAGCTCACCCAGCCTGGCCTTGTGAAGCCTCGCAGAATTCCACACGGCCAAATTGCAACTTCACACGGCCGTGTGGAAATTATCTGTGCCCGTGTGAAGGCTCGCACAATCCCACACGGCCTCCTTGGTCACTTGCACGGCCGTGTGAGCTGTGAGTGTGCCCGTGTGGTTTCCTTTGTGACTCGCCGCGCGTCCGATCTTCGTCCAATCAACCCCAAACTCGCTCCCAAGCCTTCATTAACTTACTAGGACCTGAAATATCACAAACAAGCAAAACCTAGCGTGAAATCGGCCTAAAACACGAGAATTACCATCTCAAACGGCTCCAGAATAGGGGTAAAAACATGTGCAATTAACAGCTTATTAGGGAACCAATGGCTTTAGCTAATTCCAAGGGTGCTGCAGGCGAACCTTTCTTCAGGATCTGAACACTACCCAACTTTGGTTGGGCGCCAATTGGAGTTGAAGTCTCTTTTGGAGCACGTGCCTTGCCACCCGAAATTGGTCGCTCCTTTGAAGTACCCTTGGCTCCCACATCCACTGCCCGTGTAGTCTGGGCATCGTGGATGGGGACATCGATCAGCCCGCCACCCTCTATCAATCCAACGTCCACTTCAGGTTGAATCAAAGTGGCACGTTTAGGTAGCATTGTCTGGGGAGTCTAACGACCCTCTTGAAAATCATCAGTTGTCTCCATGGTAGTATCTAGATCATTGTCCATACCGAGCTTCTGTCCCTCCAAACCATTCAATACTTGGATTCCATTTTTTTGTGGCCACCATATCCTCCAAAGCATCAAACCTTGGACCCGATTTCCACGCCTATTTGGATGTCGCGGAAGTATTGTTCTTGGTACTTGGATGCTTACACTTCCGTCCCTTTGGTTTAGCAACCATCCATTCCCCATAAATCGGCTCCAAACGCTGGCTTGTTCCCCATTAAGAGCCGATACTGGTACGTCCTTGGGGGTTGGGGTAGCTGGTGGTGGTTTGAACAGGGTTGGGCAGGTGGTTTTAGCATGCCGGTACTTACCACACTCTGTGCAGATATTGTGCAGTCCTTTATACTCGATGTAATATTTTTTCCTTCGATCCGGTAGCTACCTAGAAATGGTTTGGTTGGGTCGACCTCCACTCATACACGAGCGAATTGTGTTCTTTCACCTGTTAACGTTGCCCGGTCAACTTGTACAGGACGACCAATGCGTTGAGCAATACGGATCATCATCTTCCGGAACCTCATCGTACAAGTCATCCTCCTTAATTGCCTCATGAATATCTTCCGTGTCAGACTCAGAGATGTACCAAGCATCGGTGACTACCATCTCGTTGAAACTCTTCCCGTCGGACCACGACGACGGTGGAGGAGAACTTTGTCTTCCTGTGCTCCGTGGGCTGCCACCCCCGTTTCCCGGTAAGAGCTCGAGGAAATCCTCTGCCATGTCCATGAATTCAAATAGTTGTGTTGCACTCGAGGGATTTTCCCTCTTCCTCTTCCTCTTCCTCATCTGCTTCGTTTCTTTTTTTGCAGCCTTGCTTGGAGACGAAGTCCCCGTAAGAGGTTGGCGACTCCCCGTAGTCTGACCCTGTTCCTTTCTTCCGTGCGGAGGTCCCCCCATTGCGGAAAAAACCATGAGAACGTCGGATGTCGCGCCATTTTTCGCAGAACCCTAGCTCTAAGATTTTAGGAGCAAAGACCCAATCCTTGGACCTATCTCTCTAGTGGGGCAGAATTTTTGGGATTGCCATATCCCATCGCCAATGTCTTTAATTACCTAAAATGGTGTATCCAAATTAAATTCCCAAAACAAAATTACAAATATGCCCATTTGATAATGCACAACACAAGCACATCTTGTTCAGCATAGCCCATGAAAACTAGCCAACAAGAGGAAACCGTGGCCCAATAAGTGATTGAGCCCAAATTGGGCTGTTGAAACCCTAAACGAAAATATTTTAAGTTGAGACATAGATCCAAGCCGCCGACTCATAACCCTTCTCCCTTCTTCTCCGTATCAGCAAAATTTTCTCTAGATGTAGATCTAAAGACGAAGACGATCGTACTAAACCCGCCGACATTATCAACTCCCTTCTTCCTTGTTTAAGCAAAACCCCCTCTAGATCCTCTTCTAAAGACGATAGTATTATCACCCAAAAATTCACTCAACTGAACATACATCATGTTGATCCACACCATCTTCCCATCGACAAATCCCCCATTTCTCCTTGTAACCTTCGAGTCTTCTACCCAGGCGAGCTCCACCGACTCCCCACTAAGCCCCTTCTCCTTAAAATCGATTGTTATCACCATCAACACTTTCTCTTCTCCTTTGTTTCTGTGAAATAGATTCACGAATTGTATACCAAAATTCGTGCTCCAACAAATAAAAATTCTCGAATTTTGCGAGAATTTCCTCAAATTCGCGTTTTGGCGCTCTAAAGCGAGAGTGCTACCCTAGTTTGGCGAATTGTGTGACCTAAGAAAGAAGGGGTACCATTACCAATATCTTTTATTTTCTCATTTTGTTACAAAACTTTGATATCTTCTCATTTTAACAAAATAAAAATAAATGAAACTATTAGTGTTTTAAACAAAATAGGAATCATTTTCTGTTACGTAAATATTCCCCAATTGCATAAAATATCATTTATAGGAGTATATTATGATAATACTAGCACCGGGCCCGGCCCTTGGGCGGGAGAGTTTGATTATTATATATTTTGATGTATTGTTGTCATTTATAATATATGATTTTTCAATATGATAAAAAAATGTGTAGAAATGAATAACGAATATAAAAAACTAATAGCGATATTTAGAAAGTAAATGGTGTCTATTTATTTTGTATTTCATGTAGGAGAACATGAGAGTTTTCTTTCATTACACACACAAAATCAATCTTAATCATAAAATAAAATTATTGTCCATTCATGTAGTTTAATCAAATATTTTTTTCTCCATATAATTACAATCTTTATTCATCACGGTACGTTACAGACATGAAATTATATCCTGTGAAAGAATATATAGGGCACATTAGAGATTGATCAGAAGTAGCATGTTGAAGATGTACCACGATGACGTGAAAACCACCATCAATACAACATTAACCTTACTTATTTTGCACGAACTGATATGTTATAGAATTTGTGACCATTTTGCATCCATGAATGAGAGTGTCGTAGTACAAGCGGTTAGAAAACCATAAATGACCTGGTGCGAAGATTTAGAGTGAGCATTCTTAACATGAGTCAAGGGATGCATAAAAGAAAATTCAAATGAGTATTTTGTCTACTGCGGAAGTTATACTTAAATGTTTAACCTTTAGTGCCTCATGGTTAACTTCAGTATTAACATTTTAGTGTAAAAGTAGAGGTAGACAAAATAGTGGGCAATGAAGACCAAATTGATCTCAAATGCTCAATACTATTAGAGTATGTGTAGTACAAGTAGTATTGTGTTATACTACAACTACTGTTAAGTAATTGTCAGAGTTATATTCCTTATCAGAGTCGTGTAAGTTAGATCATTTCCGTATTAATGTTAGGGTTATTGTAGTAGAAGTCAGTCTTTGTACTCTATATAAACCCTTTATGATATCAGTAATAAAACACAAAAGTTTACACCGTATTCTGATTTTCTAACATGGTATCAGAACCTGTTTAAAAACCTAATCCACAAACCTTAAATATCTTTCATCCCCGTCGGTCATGAGTCCACAGTTGCCTGGAATGATCATCATACTGCGCAACCCTTGATCGGATCTCCTCCTAGTTATTGTCTCGTAGCTTAGTAGATTAAAAGAAAAGAAAAATAAAACAACAGGAAACCCCCCGGTCGTCCCTTCCGCTCTTTTTTAGAGTCTTTTGTTAAGCTGTTGCCTGCTTTTTCCGCCGATTGAGGTTCAACATCTCCAATGTGTCTCCGCATTGCTTCGTTGGTAGCGCAACACCATCCAGCTCGGCCTCGGCTGCATTCTACTGAGTACCAACTCAAATTGGCACCGCCTTGAGAATCTCCCGCAAACTATGAATTCTGAATTCCAGATTGCTTTCGATCAAGTAGAATTAGGAGGTTGGATATGGTTATTGGATCTGGATGGTTGCACGTGAGTTCAAGTTGCAATTTGGATTGGATTGCTTCGGTCGGTTGATAACACCGTATTTGCACATGTTTTTCCTTTCATTTCTTGATCGTTTAGCTTAGTGATTGATCATTCCTTCGCCTATTTTACGCTAGGTTGTGTTTTTTTTTTTTTCATATTTCAGGTCCTAGTACGTAAATATGGCCTTGGGACAAGTTTTGGGACATTTGGAGGTGAAAGAAGGTCGATCGCGAAAACCAGGCAATAGGGCTGCTGAAAAACACGCCCTCGAACACGGCCTCTGATGTGAAAAACACGGCCTTGTGTTAGAGGTCGGGTTTTTTCTCTACATCTCCATTTTGAAACACGGCCTCTTCTTATTAAAAACACGGCCGGGTTTTTTGGGTCAGAGGCAGTGCTTTTGCACCTGTGCGGGTTTTATTGGAGAGGAGCTCTATTTTGGAGGGGACGATTTTTCATAGAAAAAAAAAAGTCTTAAAGAGAGAAAGTGCGAAGAACAAACCCTAGGAACTATTTGGAGTGGATTTTTAAATATTGAAACCCAGATTGCATCCCAAGGAGTGAAGATTCACATCTCAGAGCAGATTCTTCCCATTGTTATGAGTATGTCTGCTTTGTATTCTGTTTTCCTCTCTCTCTATGGAGTAGAACTTTCTCTCACTTGGGTATGAAGAACCCTAGTTCCATGTGTTAGGGATCTTGATTGTAATGACGTTTGGATTGATATACTGCTTGATTATAATCGATTGAGGCATGTTTTATTGAGTCAATTGAAGCCAGGTCAACGTTTCTTGATTTCTGCTGCAACCTGAGATAGATAGAATCTGATTAGGTTGTTAGAGCTTCATCAATCGGTAGTAGTGAATTGGTTATACGAGAGTTAGTTGATTCACTGCTTTGTACTGGAATCCAATTCCAATAGTGGAGTTCTGTGTTTATTGCCTCAGTGTTCTATCCAGGTGAAGACTAGTCGTTTGCCGGATAGTTTGTCTGAGAAGGCTTGGTCAGCTTAAGAGATTCCAAGCTACTGTCGGATCTTCCGCAGTTTAATCAACAGTAAATCAACCAAAGGTCATCACAACTTTGACCTAACTAATGAGCTAGGGGGACTCATTCCCTAGTGACACTTCCCATGCTTAAGAACTTCGATCAATTTCCTGCTTTCTTACTGCTTTTCATTTGAATCACTCTCACTACACTCAGTCTTGTTAGATAATAGGTAGTCATGGAGTAGGCAGTAGATCTAGTCCCCGGGTTGATAAATTTAACTTGCCACTATTCTGCATTTCCAATATGCGATTGTGCTTGGTCGCAGTTTGGTGTTGTGTCATAGCGTGTCAAGTTTTTGGCGTCGTTGCCGGGGACCTCGAAATTATTGTAGAAATGTGAAAGTCTATTACTTTAGCGTTTTTTTTTTTCACCTTTGCTTTTCACTTGGGTGTTATGTTTTTGTTGGTGCAGATCTGAAACATGGATCCTCATGGCTTCTCCAACCATTGGGAGTATCAACCACTATCCGTGTGGTATTACCCCCAGACTTCCTGGAGCAATCAAGGAGGAGAAGACTATGGATTCGGATGTCACCACACTAGAAGAGGTGAGGATGACGAAGGCTATGGGGACGTTGAGGAGCATACAGAAGTTATTACAGAGAACTCCCATGATAATCATGATTAGGAAAGTCCTCTGGTGGCAGATCACACCTTTCCTCATTTCTGCTCTAACATGTTGGGCCATGCGAGGAGATGCAAGATGATCCCATTGAAGAAATTGCTTGGCGACTTGCTCTCCAATCTGTTCGGGAAGAAGAAGAGAGAGCAAGGGTGAGGAAAGAAGTTTTGGAGGATGATGAAGGAAGCAAAGAAGAGGTAGTTCTTGATCTTTTCCAAGGGGAGAGACCACATTTTGAAGAAGGAAGGTAGTTGAGGAAGCAACAGGCATCCAAGCTGAGGATGAAGTTGAGGTGTAAGAGGCTTGCACCGGCCCTATGTTACATTTGATATCTCCACCAAACTTCGAGGAGTTGCTTGGCAAGGACCCATTTGCAGTGTCTCTGTGCCAGACTAAGACCACATCAACATCGATCCCTCTTGGTGGATGCGATGGTGTTCAATCGAATATATCTTACCTGGTTTGGGGCAATGAGACAAGAGCATACGCAAAGGAGAGGTCTCGAGAGTGGAGACTTCATCTTCCTCAAGGCCACGAGCCATCTTCATCACCTATCACATCGCCTGCTTGTAACTTGAGACTCCACATCATCAACGAGAACCTCAACTTAAACAAGGAGGTTCTGGGGTGGACCGAAACTTAGGAGCCACCGACCCACCGTCTAG